GGACCCCACATGATAAATCACATTTTAAATCATATCTCAAACGCAAACAAAAAAAAAACCTAAACCAAAAACCAAAATAAACATTGTCCAAATAAGCCCTCTGTTTTTATCATGTGGGGACCACATCTAATTTTTTTCTTTACCCTTATTCAAATTTTTTTTTCATGAGTTATTTTGGTATAATGAAAAAAAATACTGAATAAAGGTAAAAAAAATTAGATGTTGGCCCCACATGATAAAAAAAGAATAATTCAAGGGTAAAATGTTTCGATTGTGGCCCACGGGTTTAAAAAAAATCAGATTTTGATTTTTTTATTTTTCAATTTTTAAAATTTTTAATAATATTATACTTGAATTTTTGAATTTTTAAATATTTTTCTTTTTTAATAATAAATTATAAATTAATGTAATATATTTAGTATTGTTTTAATACATTTTTTGTTTTTAACATATTTTAAAAATTTGATATTTATAAATTACCAAAAATGCCCCTATTGAGTTGACAAAGAATTGGTCAACCCAAGAACTCACAAATGTAAAGGGCCAAAAAAGATAAAAAGTACCAAATTAGTTGGAAGGACAAATATAAAGGACCAAATGAGTGAATTTTTGATATAAAGGACCAAATTAAGTTTTTAGGCAAATATAAAGGATCTTTTAAGCAGATTACTCTTTTAAAAATCTAAAAGACACAATTAAATAACACAAGAATATAAAAAAGCTTAGTAATCATTGAGTGAATAATATATTAATAAAGTACAATAATAATTTAAAAAATAATATTAAAGAAATTTCACAACTAGACGATGTTTATAGAGATAGTGAAAATCTAAAAATATCTAAAAATAATTTAACAACATTACATTTCATCAAAATTATTTCCAAAACGTTCGTAGATGTGCTCAACCAAATCTGATCGTAGTTGATGGTGTTCTTCGCGGTCGCGTATTTCTGCATTCCTTTGAATGTGTTGTTGCATATTAGGAATTGACTCTTAATGATGCGAAAATTGAGTCCCCGCGTCATAAGTACAGTTTGTTGCCTCATCTCCCTCGTCCTCAACTATCATACTGTGTAATACTCCTTCCGTCCCATAATTATTGTCCAGTTTGAGTTTTCATTTTTAGTTCAAATTGTACTAAAAGTGAAATCTTAAACTGGACAATAATTTTGGGACAGGGGGAGTATGATGCAAGTATACATTATATCTTTAAGCGATGCTCTGTCCCACAATCGAGATGAAATATGTAAAATATTTTAACGGGATTGAAGCACTCCAAATGCTCGCTCAACATCTTTTCTTGCTGCTTCTTGCACCTTATTGAAGAGTTTTCTCTTAGAATCCACCGGAGATGTAAAACATTTCACTAATGTTGCCCACTCAGGATATATACCATCAGCTAAATAATAACCTCGGTTGTATTGAGTACCATTTACAGTAAATTGAATATCAAGAGCATACCCGTGTAACGCATCGTTAAATAGAGGAGATTGGTTGTGCACGTTGATATCGTTGTTAGATCCTGCAATTCCAAAAAATGCATGCCAGATCCATAAATCTACAGATGCGACTGCTTCAATCACTACGATAGGAGAACCTTGATAACCGAAAGTAAAACGACCTCTCCATCTAACCGGACAATTTTTCCATTTCCAATGCATGCAATCAACGCTACCAAGCATACGTAGAAAACCATACCATTCATCGTGCATTTGAAGTAAACGTTGAACGTCACTATCATTAGGTCTTCTCAAACATTGTGACTGAAAAATTTTAATCACGATATGACAAAAGTATCGTAAACACTCTAGTGCAGTACTTCCATCCATCCTTAAATATTCGTCAACACAATCGGCTGGTAACCCGTATGCTAATTGACGAAGAGCTGCAGTAGATTTTTGAATGGGAGAAAATCTCATTTTACCTGATGCATCAGGCCTTTGTTGAAAGTATTCAGAGTGATTTTGGAGAGATTGTACAATGCGGAGAAATAATTCTTTCCTTATGCGGAATCTTGTACGGAAAGTAGCTGAAGAGTATACTGGATTGTTAGAAAAATAATCATTAAATAACCTTTGTTCTCCAATTTCGCGCTCTCGATCGATATGCCTTCGTCATTGCGAAGAACTTGCAATTCTTCGTTGCTCAATCAACTCATCCAACCTCTTTAAAGATTTGTTCCCACATATAATCATTCATTTCATCGTCAAAAATAGAGGGATCAAAATTGAGAAGAGAATTTAAGACATGGTTGTATGTGAAGAGTTGTTGCAAAATATATGAATACCAAAGAGTTGAAAAGGCTTGAACAATATCACTAGTCTCATTCCATATTTATAGAGTGTACTTGCAACAAGATCAAAAAAAGATTTGACTACATATCCAATGTATGGATAAGATAATGAGAGAGATGTGACTATACTATCGTACGTATAGACAAATAAAAAATGAATGACGTGACTACACTATCAATGTATTTAATGGACAAGATAAAAAAAAGGTGTGACTACAGTAGGGTACGTATGGACAAATGAAAAAAAAATGACGTGACTACACTATCAATGTATTTAATGGACTAGATAAAAAGAGAGATGTGACTACACTATGGTACGTTAGGACAAACGAAAAAATAATGACCTGACTACATTATCAATGTATTTATTCATTTAAAGTATTTAATACTTAATTTTTTGTGAGTTTTTTTAGTTTCTACAGATTGTTTTGATTTTATTTTATTTTTATACTTTTTTCATGCAATTAATTAGAAGTTGTACAATAATAATTATACGATGCGGTAAACATAATAATACTTCATATTTAAAACACAACAATATGATGTAATAAAATTAAAATATAGTGACACAACTCTTACATTTTAGTTTAAATAAAACCAAAGACTCGCAATGAAAATGACTAAATCAAAATAATAACCTAACATGACTATCTATAATTAGACAAGATTTTTTCAACTAAAAGTTCACGTCTTGCTCATTGTTCTGGTGTCATATTCGAGGTGTCCTTCGTCAAAATTTCATATTCTTTAGCAACCGTATACCTCATGTACGCTTGATTGTAAAATTCTTGTTGCTCTAATTTTTTGCCTTCCAAATTCATCATTTTTTGTCGAAGTTCAACAAGTTCATCGTCATCATCCCGTGCCTTGCACTTTCCTTTTGACTTCTGCTTTCCTTTCTTGGCTGCTTTTTAGCCTATTGGGGAACCTCCTCTTCGATTTCATTGATTTCAACATTTTGATCAGTATTTGATGATGAAGTGTATGATCCGGATTCGTTGATTCTTGTTCTCTTTGACGACTCTTCAACAGTAGAAACAGCTGCCCATTTTCGATCATCTTTCACAATTTTCCACACATGCTCATGCACAAAATGTTTTTTCTTAATTTGCTAATATACCTCATGAGCTACATCTGTTACAGAATCATCACTCCACCCACAACGTTGTTCATTCCATAGTCTATTGTAGTGTTGGTTAAATTCATTGACATACTTTGAAAACTAAAACCAATGAGACTTTAACTTATCTTGTTCTCTTTGTGGTAAAGATCCTCGGTTTGCATTGTAGTAGATAGTAATCTTCTTCTAAAATTCTTTCATATCTTGGTAGTTTCCTGTAATGCTACAGTTAGAAACCGTAAGCCATGCACGAGCCAGAAGTATGTTTTCCTCCTTGCTCCAACCTTGATAATTTGAAGCATTTTCTTTTTCTGGTGCTTGTGATAAAGAAATATTATCCAAACCAAATTGAGTTGAAAATTGTAGAAAATAATATTGGGGAGTTGATGCCCTTGGTGTTGCATTTGGAGAGTCATCGTCTCGAACGTCTCCTCTAGTTGAAACCGGTGTAGGTACTTCTGTAAGACGAACCCGTATTTGTAAATTCTATTGGAAAATTATTTCCAATCATTTGACAAAAATAACCGGGCGATTGATACATCACGAATAGATTTGGGGCATAAGAAGACAAATTGGGGGCACCCTAATTTTGAGGATATCCAAAATTTTACATATTAGGATGAAAATTTTGGGGGCGGGTGGAATTTGAAAAATTTTGAGATGGATTTGCATTGTTTTTAGGAGGATTTTTGCTATTTTTTCGGCTCATGGTAAGTAGAAAATAGAGGGAAAAAATTGACAGGGTTGATGTGTAGTAAAGAAAGAACTATAAGTATAGAAGAGAGGAAAAATAGAGAAAGTGGTGTGTTATGAAAATTAATATTGGGGATATTTATAGGCAAAATCTTAAATTATTCTCTTAAAAAAATTATCAAATTTTGTGCAAACATTTAGAAACGGCTAGTTTTTTCAACGTTCAAAAAATTTCTACGGTCACAAATTTGACAACCAAAATGAAGAAATATTTTTTGGAGATGATGTGAAGAAGCCAAAAAAAAAGGGCAGATTTAAAGGAAAATAACAAAAAAAATAAAGAATTAAATGGGTTTTGCTGTTAGAAACCGTATTTTTGTTTTTTTTTTTTTTAAAAAAAAGAAAACAAAACAGAATTTAGTACACAAAAAAGGAAACGAAAGGAAGAAAAAAATTGAATGAGGTATGGTGGCTGACCATTTGTGGGTTCCACCAAAAAGAAATTGGAAAAAGAAAAAGAAATGGGGTTGAGCCGTTGGCTGCCCATGTGATGGGCCCCCTTTACCCCACACATGCTGTCAAAGTTTCAGAGCTCAAAATATTTTCAACACCTGACAAATTTATCCACCCTCTAATTACTCCGTGTATGTTCAATTCTGACATTACACAACAAATATACTATTGTTGTTGATGCTCTAAATGTGATATGAGAAATGCCGGTTACACACTCATCAATCTCTAAGATTCCACTGCATCAGATAAAGATTCCACTACTTTTCTACTTTCAATTCATCTTTATAAGGTTTCTACTTCTGAACTCCGAACCTCACAATATCAAACTGCTCTCAAAAGATAAAGAGCAAGAACCAAAAAACCTTTCTTTCTTGACTAAAATGGCAGCTTCTTCTTCTTCATCCAAAGTGAGTTTAAAGCTGTTAATAGATACCAAAAACCAAAGGGTCCTTTTTGCTGAAGCTGGAAAAAATGTTGTAGATTTCCTCTTCCACATCTTAACTCTACCCATGAGCACTGTCATTAGGCTTCTCACCAAGCAAAAAACGGTGGGTAGCCTTGGAAAGCTTTACCATAGCATCGAATAGTTTAATGAAACTTACATTGTTCAGCCAAACCAAACCAAAATAACCTTTTTGAACCCTAAGACTCCTCTGGCTCCAACTACTTTTTCAAGCTCTCTGCTAGCCCTTCCCCCGGAAAGATCGGAAAAATCGGTTACTGGTGCCACAACAACGTCCAAAGTTATCCTGCCTGCGCCGGGTATTTCACGGATGCGCCTCATGCCATTTGTCCCCATTGCGGGAAAACTATGTCTAAAGTGTTGAATTATGTCGATCTTCCGGCGAAGAACAACCAGCTGGAAACCGGTGGAAATGTTGTCCAGGGGACGGCAGAAGGTGGATATGTCAAGGGAGTGGTGACGTATATGGTGATGGATGACTTGGAGGTCAAGCCAATGTCTACCATGTCAAGTATTGCTTTTCTGAACAATTTCAATGTCAAAGAAGTGGGAGCTCTTCCAGAAAAAGTTGTTGATCTAGGCATTAATGAAGTAAAATGAAGCTGATCTGTTTTGTCCAATCGAAGTCAATGAGATCTTTCTTTTGAGTTAATGTGCAGCTCTTTTTTGGTTTTCAAGTATAGAAGTAATTATATATTAACTGTAGTAAATATGTTGTATAGGGTTTCATACATGTCTATATATACCTTTGTACTGATACATTATCACACAATGAATATACAATTCTATTATTCTAACTTGGTACAGATCTAGGATTTTCTTTTCTTTTCCTTCAACTGGCTACCTTATTCTTCTTCCCGCATCATCGCCGGTCTTGTTTTTTCTCTCTCTCGTTGTCACTTTCTGTAGTGTGGATCCTTGTCCTTTACTTCTCTCCACTGTTCACCAAATCAAAACCCCAACAAACTACAAAACCCACTACGCGACAAAAAACCCCACGCCTCCCTCACTTTCCCCTTTCCTCGGTTGCTGCTGCGTAACAAAAGGAAAAATTATCCTTCATCATCATCCATCATCATCATCACCCAATCATTCATCATCATCATCACCCCATCCCCCATCTTGCACCCACCCAATAATCCTCATCCATCATCCATCATTAAACCAAAAGAAAAAAAAAACAAAAAAACCCGCTGCGGCGGGCGTTGCTGCACCTTGTTGGAAAAATTGACCAAATTTTAAGTTTTACGGTTTTAGCCCTTCTATTTTTTGGTTTTTTCCAAATCAGTCCTACTTTTAATTTTGTGCAAATCTGTCCTTATAGTTTGTGCTTTATGCAATTCGGTCCCTTGATTAATATTTTTAATAATTCAGTCCCTCTGATTAATTCTGCTGCTAAGAGATGACTTCTCCTATCCGTTCTTCTGCCTCTTCTTTTACTGTACCGCCAGAAAAGGTATGTCAGTTATGCAACATTCCCTATCACACCGCATTCACTTGCTCTCGTCGTTTTGACTCACATTTTTACCCGGGAACGGTCTGTCAACTCTGTCATATTCCCAATCACACTGCCTTCACTTGTTCTCACCGCTTTGACTACAATTTCTCTCTTGGTGCTACTACTACTTCTGATAATCTCCTTCCGGTACCAGCACGTGCACATCCTCAAGCACATGTAGTCAAGTATGTTGCTTCTTCTACTCCATGGCATCCTGGCACTGGTGCTATAGCTCATGCAACACCAGATTTGCCGTCTCTCAACACCGTCAATGATAATACTGGTACGAATCATATTTTAGTTGGTAATGGTGCTTTTTTACCTATTAAGCATGTTGGTCAATCTATTTTGCCATCATCTTCTCGTCCGCTTTATTTAAATCGTGTCCTGCATGCCCCTAATCTCACTAAATCTTTATTATATGTTCAACAATTCACACAGGATAATCACTGTTTCATTGAATTTTATTTTGACTCCTGTTGTGTTAAGGATCTATCAAACAAGGAACTTCTCCTCCAGGGTAGGGGTGATAATGGCCTCTATATGTTGGATCTCCCTGCTCGTGGTTCTTTATCTCCAGCAGCTTATCTCATTTCCTTAGATCAATGGCATGCTCGTTTAGGACACCCTAATAATGTCACTCTTCGTGCTTTGGTTAAGCAGTTTCAACTCCCTCATTCCTCTATGTCCACGTCTACTGATAAATGTGAGGCGTGTTGTCTAGGGAAGTTGCATAGGATTAATTTATCTTCTACATTTTGTCGTAGTTCTAAACCTCTTGATTTAATCCACACTAATGTTTGGGGTCCTCCTCCTATTTTGTCCTTTAATGGCTATCGCTACTTTGTGCTTTTTATTGATGATTTTTCTTTATTTACATGGATTTATCCCATTAAGCATAAAAGTGATGTTTTCTATGTTTTTAAGCAGTTCTAAACTCTCGTAGAAAACCAATTTGGCACTACTATTAAAAGTGTCACCTCTGATTGGGGTGGTGAATTTTGTCCTCTGAATTTGTTTTTTAAGGATGCAGGTATTGTTCATCGTTTAGCGTGCCCTCACACTCATGAGCAGAATGGCAGTGCTGAACGCAAAATTCGTCACATTGTTGACATTGGCCTTGCTCTCCTTGGTCATTCTAGTACTCCTTTTCGATTTTGGGACGTTGCCTTTAAAACCGCTGTGTTCTTGATTAATCGTAATCCTAGTAAACCTCTTCAGAGTCAAATACCCTTCACTACACTATATTACCAGCCACCTAATTATACCTTTCTTCGTGTTTTTGGCTCTGCTGTCTATCCTCTTCTTCGCCCATATCATCGGCATAAGTTCTCTTTTTGCTCTACTCAGTGTGTCTTTCTTGGGTACTTTCTGTCTCATCTCGGTTATCACTACTTTGATGTAGTGCATAATCGTCTTTATGTTGCTCGTTATGTGAGTTTGATGACCAACTCTTTCCTTTTAAACATCCTATCTCAATTTCTCCATCTTCTCTCCTGCGACTCCTGCCACCCCTTGGTTGCGTGTAACCTGTTCTCCTGGTGTGCATGCTTCGACTCTTGTGCCTGCTGCTTCTCCACCTATTTCTCCCATTCCGATGGCTTCTTTACCCAGTTCTCCAGGTCCTTCTACTTCGTCGGCATCTTTACCTAGTACTCCTACATCGAACTGCTCATCATCTGAGTCTAGTTCCTCTTCTCCTCCTCCGCCACCTCCTCCTTCTCCTCCTCCTCCATTCCATCCTCATTCAATGGCACTCCGTCCTAACCCCAAACCCAAGAAGATCTTTGATCCCTCGGCTCATCTTGCCTCTGTTTCACCATCTTAGACTGTTGCTACCACATCTTTTACTGAAGCCATGTCTATTCCTCAGTGGCAAAATGCCAAGAAGGATAAAATATCTGCCCCTCTTAAAAATAACACCTGGGCCTTAATTCCCCCTCCTTCCTCCGCAATGTTGTCGGCAATCGATGGCTTTACAAGATTAAGACCCATGCTGATGGTTCTATTGATCATAATAAAGCTCGGTTGGTGGCTCGAGGCTTCACACAATCTTTTGGGATTGATTATACTGATATTTTTAATCCGGTTGTTAAGCCGGTCACCGTTCGCTTGGTTTTGACAGTTGCCTTGGCTCGTGGATGGTCAATCTCTCAGCTTGATGCCAAAAAACGCCTTTCTTAATGGTGTTTTGAGTGAAACTGTTTATATGGTTCAGCCCCAGGGTTTTGTTGATCCGGTGCGCTCTTATTATGTGTGTAAGCTGCATAAGTCTTTATAGAGGTTTAAGCAAGCTCTTCGGGTCTGGTATTCCTTGTTAGCTGCCTTTTTGGTCACCTTGGGATTTGCGGAGTCTCATTGTGACCCTTGCCTCTTTGTGTACCGCCGTGGGTCTCAGTTATATTTTTTGCTAGTATATGTGGATGATATTATTATTATGGGCATCACTTCTGGTTTTGTTCAGCATTTTATTTCTTTTCTTGCTAAGCAGTTTTCTCTTCGAGATTTGGGTCCTTTAAGTTACTTTCTTGATGTCGAGGTTCACCGCACATCCCGAGGTTTGCTCCTCCCTCAGCGCAAGTATGTTATTGATTTATTACGGCTTGCTAATATGTATATTTGCAAGCCTATTTCTACTCCTATGCAGGCTGGAGTTGTGTTGTCCCGTTTATATTGTACTCTATTGTCTCCTAATGATGCGACTACCTTTCGCCGGCTTTGTGGTTGTCTACAGTACACGACTCTCACCCGACTAGATATCTGTTTTGCAGTTAATAAGCTTTGTCAGTTCATGCATCAGCCCCGGACTTCTCATTTTCAGGCTCTCACACGTGTCCTTTGCTATTTTCGTGGAACCGTTGATTTCTGTTTGGTTCTGTATCCCACTGATTTGGACACTCTTACTGTCTTTAGTGATGCTGATTGGGCTGGTTGTCCAGATGATCGTCGTTCTACTACTAGTTTTTTCCTTTATTTGGGACCTAATCTCATTGCCTGGGCATTTCGGAAGTAGCCCACTGTGGCACGCTTATCTAGAGAGGCTGAGTTTCGTGCAATTACGAATATCTGTGTTGAGCTGCAATGGGTGTGTCATCTGTTGTCTGAGTTGGGTGTTTCGTTGCGTCATTCTCCCTCTGTTTGGTGTGACAACAGTAGTGCAGTTTTTCATACTGCTAATCTAGTGTTCCATGCCCGTACCAGACATGTCGAGGTAGGTTTTTCACTTTGTTCGAGATCATGTTCGGCGGAAGTTTGTTTCGATACACTCTGTGTTTGTTGTTTATCAGAGTGCTGATATTCTGACGAAGCCCTTATCCAAAGATTTATTCCTTCGTTTTCGGGACAAATTTCGGCTTCTCTCTTCTCCGCCACCAGTTTGTGGGGATGTATTGTAATAATTATATATTAACTATAGTAAATATATTGTATAGGGTTTCATACATGTCTATATACACTTTTGTACTGATACATTTTCACATAATGAATATACAATCCTTTTATTCTAATTTCAAGTTTTTGAATTTAATTTGATTTGTGAAAAAAGCAGCCACAAAATTTCTTTTTGCATATAATATTTACTATTAATTTTGTTTTTCTCAAAATATGAATGACAGGCTTTAGACTTGCTGAAGACTTCCCTGTCGTTCAACACTGTTCTTACTACTGTCTTCTTGAAGAAGGTTACCACCGGCAAGTGATTTCATCGCCACAGGAACAACACTAAAGTTCTGTTCTACTTTAGTAAGAATAATAATCAGTTAATTAGTTTAGTGCTACTATAATGCTTTTGGTATATATGGGCAGATAATGTACAATTGTGTGATTATGTTTGTAGTGCATCTGGTAGCCCCTAAGCAAGCTTAGGCCTGTTTTGGACCTGCCCAGTAATTTAACTACTATGACATGCTTTACTGTGATCATGCATCATCCTCAATTAATCTCAGTGCCATTATCTGCCTTTTTTTTGATCGCTTGGAGTATTTTTCTTTTCTTTTTCATAAGTGATAATCATAGTTGTGTTAAAAAATAAAGGAGGGTATAAGTTGATACTTGATATAAGCAACTCGATTTAAGACAGTCAACCACGAATGCATTTTCTAGCTTCAGTGGGGATATAGAGTCCCAACTGTGTGAACAATTTGCTGGAAGCCTGGAAAGTTATTTAAACTGTAGCAAGAACTAATCGACTCTTTTTTCATATAGAAGATTTAGTCATCAAAGTGGGTTTTTAGCAAGGAGGTTTTTACTAGTGAGGAAATTTCCATCCGCTAGAATGTTTTTGGTAGGATTTTGAAACGTCTGATTGTTAAAAAACATGAGTGTTAGTTTCTGTTACTACACCAAATCCTCTGGTCATCTCATTGAGTTGACTGAAACTAGTCAAAGTTACATTTGAGCTACGGTCAAAATAATTCCCAATGGCATTTATGAAATCCAATTGGAACTCCATCTTCCAACCTTATGAATTGAGTTTTACTATGATCAGCTCGATTTCTAACTTCCAGATGTAGTACAACTAGTAATTCAGCATTTAGCCGTATTTTTCTTCTGTAAGAATTTTTTGTTTTTTTTTCCCCTGAAAAAAAAACAGCTGGGGAAGTAATATTTGCTTGTTTTCAATGGGAAAACTGCCTATCAACAACAATTCCATTTCCATCTTCCCAAAGAGCTGCGCTACGGTTGGCAAAGTCAATTTTGCAAATTCCCTATGTTTGATTATCCTCTGTTTGTCCCCTGTGAAGTGCATGCGCACTAATTGTTGTACTAATTCCCTATGTTCGATTATCACCATCTCCCCTATATAAAATTCAAATTCAATAGACCTATTTAAATATATACAGAGATTAAGAAAAAATGAGTAATGTAGTTAATTTTAAATAAAATTTCTATTACACTTTTATTAATGACTAGTGAGTTATTAGTTGATATGAAAGAGTAATAGTTAAAATCAATTAAATGTTCTTAATTTCAGTTAAAGTGAGAAGGGTATATTAGAGAGTTTATAGAAAAAATTAATTAATTATAGGACTAAGTTTTGAAACATCTCAAAAGAGAAGTGAGCCTATTGAAATAGAACGGAGGAAGTAGTAACTTGATTATAATTTCCTATTCCTCTTTACTTCGGAGAAAGAAAAAAAATGGCAACTCCAGCTTCCAAAATCAGCTTAAAACTTTTGGTGGATACCAAAAGTAAAAGGGTTTTGTTTGCTGAAGCTGGCAAAGATGCAGTTGATTTCCTGTTCCACATATTGACTTTGCCAATGGGTACTGTCATTAGGCTTCTCACAGAGGAAAAAATGGTGGGATGTATAGGAAACCTTTATGAAAGCATTGAAAATCTTTGCGAAACATACATTCAGGCAAACCAAACGAGGAAGTCCTTCTCAAACCAATTTCCCCGAGTGATTCAACAAAATTCTCAAGTCCTCTGCTATCCCTACCTGGGCCAGATCATGGCAAGGTTGAGAAACATGTTTATAGGTGTCAGAACCATGGTAATTATTCATGCGCCATCTATTGCAGTGATCACCCTGGTGCTAAATGTACGCAATGTCATACCGCCATGTCTTACAAAATGACGTACGTTGCTCCACCGGGGACGAAAAAGACGGTGGCAAGCGGCGGAGCAGTGGAGGCGGAGGGGGGATATGTGAAGGGAGTGGTGACTTATATGGTGATGGATGATTTGGTGGTGAAGCCAATGTCCACTATATCAAGCATTGCTCTTCTGAATAAGTTCAATGTGAAGGAAGTTGGAGCCCTTGAAGAAAAAGCAGTGGATCTAGGCATCAATGAGGTAATATCTTTCTATTTTCTTGCTAGTAATTTGATAGAAATTCAATATTGTTTCAGATCACTAAAAGACGTTCATGTCTTTTTTTCAAGCAATACTAATACAGATGCATATCTATCTCTTACTCTAACATCATCATGATCTCAGGCACTGAAGTTGCTGAAAACATTATTGTCATCCAAGACTGTTCTTAGCAGTGTCTTCTTGAAGACCACTCTCTGATCTTATTATGCAACAAATCAATGCGTCACTGCGTGCTGGACTACTTTTTAGTGTCGATGATTACTTCATTCAGAACTAGAATAATTCATTGCTAGCTTATTTGTTTTACGGAAGCTGGGCAAAATTTTTTATTATTAAAGTATTATGCAACTGGCCAGTTGCATACCATGGTCTCCAAAAGGACCATTATCATCAATTTGGATTAGAATCGAAAGAGTCCAAGCCCTGTTCCTCCCCCCCCCCCCATGAGGAATTAAATATTTTTGTCCTTAATTATCAAAAAATAACTTGTATCTTCTATCTTTTCCATTTCATTTTCGACTGTTTTGTCTTTGCAAAATTGTTTTTAGTGTTTTGTCACATAACCCCAATTCATAATCATATCAATTAGCAGGCATTTGCAAGAGGCAAAATGATTGCAAGTCAGAATAGTTTTGAAGATATATGCGGATGGGAACGCCTTGGGGTTTGCAAGAAAAGCCATCTCGTTTTCCAGTTTATGAAATCAAATAAAATATGAAAATGTGCACATCACAGAGTTGTGGTGGTTATAATGGATCACAACTTTTTTTTTTTTTGGAATTATTCCTTAAAAATAAAATGAGATATCAATTTGTAAATTTTTTTTCTTACTCTATTTTTATGCATCTGTCGTCACTTTGCATTTAGAAAAATGAACTTGTGCGTTTCGTATTTTATATAAACAGTAAAGGAGGCAAATGGTCAAAAAAAAGAAAAATTTTAAACAGTGGACAAATTGTGGGTGAATTAAGAAATGAAAAGTGCCGGTTACGTACTCATCAATCTCCAAGGAGTCCGATCTGACTTCTTGCAGTTGTCTTATGTCGAGTAAGATGACATATTTCTCTTCTCCGGCGACGAACAACCCGACAGCAACGGGTGGAAATGCTGTCGCGGAGGCTGGAGAAGGCGGATTTGTGAAAGGAGTACTGGTGACTTACATGGTGATGGATGACTTGGAGGTGAAACCAATGTCTACCATTTCAAGTATTGCTCTTCTTATCAATTTCAATGTGAAAGAAGTTGGAGCACTTCAAGAGAAAGTGGTTGATTTAGGCCTAAATGAGGTAAAATATTGAAGCTCATGATTTTATGTCCAAATTAAAGTCAACGAGATCTATTTTTTTGTTTTTTTTTGAGTTATGGGGTAGCTGTATGTCTTTTGCTTTTCAAGTTTTCAAGTACATTAGCCAGATTTGTAAATGGAGTTAACTTGAAAATGCTAGAAACTAGCTAGGTTGTATAAATCGAAAATAATAATTGTAGCGTAGACAAAATTTTTCTTTAAAATCCATCAATTTTAAATAAAAATTTAATTTGTGTGACTAATCACTATCTGGAGTAACTTGTCTGCCTTAAAATGTTCATGACAGGCTTTGGACATGCTAAATTAAGACATCTCTGTCGTCCAAGACTGTTCTTACCACTGTGTTCTTGAAGAAGGGCGTGCCATGGGCAAGTGATTTCATCGCTTCATGAGCAACACTGAAGTTACTGCTTGATGGACTTTAGTTCTTTTGGTTGAATATTATGTAAGAACAATCAGTTAATTATTAGCTTAGTTGTAATACTTTTGGTGATTGTGTTTTTGGGCTAGTGCTGTCATCTGGTAGTTCAGTAGGAACATTGGAGGCTTATGCCTGCTTGGACCTGCCCATTATTCTAGTGTACATGATGATGATGCCCGTTGTTTTTGGTAGTATTGTATTGTATGTATCTCGCTATCTCCCATTCGAGAGGAAGATTGGAGTTTCCTTTTGATTGTAGAATGTCTACGGGTTTCGAAGAGAATCCACCTTCCCTAATTCCCTATATTCAACTGGATCCACATAAGAATAACTTTGCATTTTCCATCTGGGCCTTGTCATTAAGTTTGTTGCAAGGAAACCATAATTTCTGAGGTAATGTGTATATACGAAAAATGACACAAATATGCTCCCAAATTGGTCGTGTAAGCAGGACTATGGCTAAGTTTTCGGAGGTAGAAAGAAATATGTTTCTCGCATTTAACAAATGCGAAAAAACCAACTTCCGCGTTCAGCAAATGCAAAAATGTAGTGGATTAATTACAATGCATTAAAGACGTTGGATTAAAACTGGATAATTATAATTAATTTAATCCTTCGCATTTGGGGTATGCGAAAATTAACTTTTCGCATATGCCATATGCGAATGTATTAAATCTGTATTTAAAAATTGTTTCCTAACTTTAAATTGGTATAAAATGAAATATTGTAAATTAAATATTTTGGTTGATAAAATATTGTAATATTTCAACAAAAAATACTATTTTAATTGAAAATTAAATTTTCTAAATTTAAAGTATTCATTTGATTTAAGTAAATTTATGTTAGTTCTAAATAGAATTGCAAACCTAAAAATTATATTTGGTGAACAGAAATCGTATAATGCATTTATAATAAAATTTGAATAAGAAGTAAATTAAAATTTCAATGAAAAATTAGAATATAATCTTGCGTTCTGTAACCAAGTTTGCTTTTAAAAAAATTGACTTTTATTTGATTTCAATTTAAAAACTTACCATCTTTAAAAATATAATGTCAAAAAATCAAGTTTATTAATTTTAGGATAATAATATTTTTTACATAATAAAACTTAGAATCAATTCATTTAAAGTAAGGAAAAAAACTAAAACTTTTAGAATCTTACATAATCAGTCCTGCTAAACTTGATAAAACCACACTTCCTTCTAACAATGATCTTTTGGCGACCTGGAAACTTGAATTTGGCACGACGAAAAAGATAGTATTGTATAAAAGTAAGAGTTAAAAAAATTGTACATAATATTGTCTTTTCGAGAAATTTTCTTCTTTAATGTTTGCCTTTTAATTTTTTTTTTATCTTAAAGATTAAATAAAACCGAAATAAATTGTTAATGAAAAGAAATGAAAGGTATTGCTTAAAACTAATAACAAAAGTCATAAAATAGCATAAAATAAAAGTAGAATTCAATCTAATTTTTCTACATCTTGCGCTTTTCTTCGAGAATCATCATGCAGCACTTTTCTTCTTTTTATGTTCCGCTGTCCCTTACCCAAAGCAATCGGTGTAAAAGGCATGGTACCATCACTGGGGCCCTGTCCCTGATCAACGCCCTCATAATGATCATGAGAGGAATGCTCAGCATCATCAGTATCATCATCATGCTCCCGATCCCCAATATCCTCATGATCTTGATCATCTTCCCGATCATGATGGATATCGTCACCACCTAGATGCCGACTATGATGACAACCCTCGTAACTAGTCTCAAAGAAACCCCAAAGCATTAGGATCTAGATTAATAAAATCTGAATCAAAATGCATTTGCTCAAAAGGAGGAGAGGGATGGTGGTGTGGCGATCTTTGGACGGTAAGGAGACACATGGAGGGTAGAAGATTGCCCGCCGGTATTCAGGTGGCCACAGTTTTCTCATTCTCCCACTTCCTAACTGGAAGCTGCCTCGGTCAGTCCCGGGAGGCCTAGGTGGGATATACTCCTGGGTTGGGTCACTGAACAAAATCTTGGCTTGGGTTCTCACTATCAGCCCAAACAGATGTCTTGCCGACAATATTGCTCTTGTGTCAAATCGTGCACTGTAGGAAGGCATTGTGATTCCAGGAATCACTGGATTACGTTGTAGCCCATCTAGAGTAATATGCCGCATGTTTTGCACTAAATTGGCCTGAAAATTATGAAAGGAAATAAATATATATGGTAAATTAAAAATATATAATAAATATATTTTATAAATGAACATATATATGGTAAATTAAAAATAGGAAATAACATTTTAGAAAGTTATATGTATAAAAATCATATTAATATGGGTGTGATTAAAGAAATAGTAGAATCAGTAACTTACCATTATATGTAGTGACTCAAGAGATCCCCGAAAACCCCGGGCCGACGATAGTCTGATGGATTGGTGACCAAAGTGACAGTGTGATTTTGATACCACACTAGATATTCCGGTGCTGCCTGGGGTTCAAGAGTCATATCCGTCTGGGGTTCATAAATACTTACATTATGTTCTTGCAAAACCGCAAGCTGGTCTCGATAGGCAGTTAGATTAAATCGTGTGATGTCTCCCACTTTTCTAGGACGGTTCCACCTACAAAAAATATAGTTTTGATTGAAAAACGGAAAAAAATTATTAAAAAACATAACTAATTAAGATAATTATTGAATAGTTGAAAATTAATTACCTCCTGCCCAAGGGACACCCCTGAAGATCTGGTACGGGCCCACGTAACTCCGGACGGAAAGTCAATATCCGCTCCCAAGCCTATAACTATTTTGCAATAAAATAATACGTGAAATTAAAAATACAAATACAATAATTAAAAAACTAAAAATAAAATACAATTATAAATATTAGGATTCTAACAAAAAATTACAAATAAGGAAAATAAAAATAAATCGAAAAAAATTAAAATTCAATGAATAAAAAACTAACAATCAAATACAAATACAAGGGCGGTTTGAAATTACTTGTAAGAGTAGTAAGCAGCCACAAATACCCTGTCCAGACAATGTGATCACTGAGGAAGTGCATAGATTTCGGTACAACCATGCCAGTGTAGCACTACCCCAACTAAACTCCCGAAATGTATTTGGGTCCTCCAAATACCCCACCAGGCCCAGGGGAAAACTGTTTCTGCTGCTATCAGGAAACAATAACCCTCCTAAAATCCATCCGACAAAACAACGTGCCCGCCAAGGTACATATCCTCCGTAGCATCTCCGGGTAGCAGATTAGTCATAATGTGTCTCTTTATATCTGTGATGTTTACTACCTTATCCTTCGTGGCCTTAGGACGCTGTCGGAATCCAAACAGACTCTCTAAATAATCGGCCCACTCCACATCCTGCGGAGATACTGTCCCCTGAACCATTGCATGGCCATCAACCCGCAGACCCAGAAGGACCTCGACATCCTGTAGAGTAATCGTCGCCTCTCCGACAGGCAAGTGAAATGAATGGGTCTCAGGCCGCCATCGCTCAACTAAGGCTGTAATGAGGGCCCAATCTAACTTAATAGAACCAATTCGAAAAAGAGGCCATAGACCAAACTTTGCTATTTGGGCATGTATCTGTGGGGCAGCCTTGTCTAGTTCAGGCCATAGGTCAGTATCCACTCGGTATGCAGAAAGTTCTTTCAAATAAGCCTTATTACCCCTAAATGTATGGAATGACCTATGATCATCATGAAGGACCAATAAACTCTTATCTATAGGACCCTGCTGGAGGTCATATTGTCTAGACTGCGAAGACGATGATGATCCCGTCTCCATATCCTAAATAAAAATAATACAAACAAATACAAATATACTAAATAAAAATAATACAAAATAATACAAAAAAATACAAATACACTAGATAAATATAATACAAACTAATACAAATACACTAAATAAATATAATACAAACAAATACAAATACACTAAATAAAAATAATACAAAATAATACAAACTAATACAAATACCCTAAATAAATACAATACAAACTAATACAAATACACTAAATAAATATAATACAAAATAATACAAACAAATACAAATACCCTAAATAAATATAATACAAACTAATACAAATACCCTAAATAAATACAATACAAACAAATACAAATACACTAAATAAAAATAATACAAAATAATACAAACTAATACAAATACCCTAAATAAATATAATACAAACTAATACAAATACACTAAATAAATATAATACAAAATAATACAAATACAAATACATTAAATAAAAATAAAACACAAAAAAAAAAACGCCGGCCGACAACAACGCCGGCCGACAACAACAACAACAACAACAAAAACAACAACGCCGGCGACAACAACTCCAGTCGATCTAAATTCGCCGACCGTAAATGCGAAGAAATCAATGGAATAAATAAACTAGAACAAAAACGAAATAACACGACATAAATCTGAAAATAAACAAAGCATTATGAAGTACAAAACACTTACCTACCTTTTGTGGAAGAGGAGACGCCGGGAACAATGGCTGAAAAACGGGGAGAACGCCGGGGAGAGAGGAGGCGCCGGCTTCAATGGTGAAAACCGGGGAAAAACCGACGGGGAGAGAAGTGTTCGAAGATTTAGATCTGAAGTTGTTCGCATTTACAGTATGCGAACTTAACCCAGATGATGCCACATGGCGCCCGTGGCCAGATTAAGAACTTTCGCATTCCCCTTATGCGAATAATCGACTATACGGAAGTCCAGGAGATGACGCCACGTGGTGCGCCCTGGACAGCTTCATATTGTTCGCATTTCCTTTATGCGAAATATTCATGGTCCCGGGAACAGTCTAGAAACTACAACGTTTACTAATGTTCTTTGACGGTAGTCTTGTACTCTTGGACAGTACACAAATACAAACATAGACTTGCATATTGTTTGAATTATTACACAAACCAAAACCCAAATACAAATTCAGAATTCTTAGACTGATTACACA